GGACAACGAGAGCGGTGAGCAATGTCCATGGATGCTTTCGAGGGCACTGTAAGAGTTCTGATAAGGATGTAATTATCAGCCAGTTCCCTCTGGTGAGATCCGTAAACATTCTCGAGGGATGTCGGGGAATGGCCATGAATAACGTCTATGAGAATCCAAGAGTCCTGAAATGATGACACAATGTTTATTCAACTGGTTTCTTCTGGTTATCAGTTGGAAATTCCTTGATGGGAGGGGGTGGTGAGCATCAGATCACATGTTCTCTAGGCAAATTCAGATAAGGTGACCTTCAAGGCCAGCCAGGGGAACCAATTCAGATAAACATACAGTTGTTTTGGGGACAGGCATAACTTAATGGCATCTACCTTGAATCTGTGTTGGTGCAAACGGTTCTGAAATGTTCAAATTAAAAGGGCCACACTGATGGAACATGCCTGAGTAAAATCCCAGAGATTCGATCCATTCGGCCCAAAGCATTTGAGTCTGGGTACTCGAGGCACGAACCAAGTCATCATAAAGGCATGCAGCGTGATCGGGTCTAAATTTGCTGCCGACGACTTCCTTGATTGTAGATAAAACCAGCAACCAGCCGAATCCAAAAAGCAGGAATCGGTTATCGTAAATCCAATTAAATATGCGTCCTTAAAATCCACAAATGGCAGCAGAGATAGACACATCATCAAGTCTTCAAGTCGATGAGATATCCAGCTGCGTGCATGCCAATAGGGCAAATCAGCTCGCCTAAAGCATGTCTTCTCTTCGAAAAAATGTTGTAAATTGAGTTGAGAGACCAACTGATCAAAACAAGTCTATAATTATGGTTCGGAAGAAATGCAAGAGAGACTCAGAAGCAATTTCACAGACAGACAGAGCAGCAAAGCGGAGAGGGAGGGGAGGGGAAAAGCGTCCGACCTCGGCAAGAGCAAGCGGTGAAGTTTATGAGTCTAACAGCTTCAGGGTAGAAGCTGTTCCTCAGTCTAGTGGTTCTACACTTAATGAGTGGGGCAAAAAGTGAGTGCTGGGTAAGTGGTGTCCTTCATGATGCAGGGAGCCCACTTCTTGCATCTAGAGGTGTAGATGTCTGTGATGGTGGGGAGGCTGACTCCAACATCTTCTGTGCAGTCTTCACCACTTTCTGCAAAGCTTTTCTTTCTGCAGCTGTGCAGCCTCCATGTCACATTTTGATGCTGGAGTGCAGGATGCTCTCCACTGTACACATGTAGAAGGAGATGAGGACTGATCTTCCCAGTCCAGCTCGCCTTAGCCGCCTGAGGAGTAAGTAAAATTCTAGGATTCATTTAAAAAGTATTTTATTTGCTTTTAAAGCTCTTAATGGACTGCCCCGCCCTATCTGTCCAAGTTGCTACATTTGTACACACCCTCTCGATCCCTCAGGTCATGTGATCATCTGCTCCTGAGTGTGCTGAAGACATAGCATAAGCTCAGAGGAGACCATGCTGTGGCAGCTCCTAAACTGTGGAACATCAGACAGGCCTCTTCCCTGTCTGTTTTTAAATCCCTTCTTAAAACCATCTCGTCTCCCTGGCCTCTGACACTATCTGAAATGTTGACTTTTAATCGTTTTAATCACTTTTTATTATCTGATTGTATGATTGTTTTATGTGTACTGTACAGCATGTTGGTCCTGTGGGTGTTTAAAGTGCTCTATACATAAAACTGGTATGAGGAAGCTATGGAAGCTAGATGGAGCTAGGTTGTTGAGAGCTTTGTAGCTTTGGGGCGGCTGTAGCTGAGTGGTCAGAGCAGTCGTCCTCCAATGCGAGAGTTGGGGGTTCGAATCCACCAGCAGTCACATGCTGAAGTGTCCATGGGCAAGACACTGAACCCCTCATCGCCTCTGATGTGTGTCCCATTGGTGTATGAATGATCTAAAGCACTGATTAGTCTCTTTAGAATGATTTGTTCAATTATCTTTGTAGAGATCTAGTAGAGTGCTGTATGAATGGGTAAATGAGGACACAGACTGTAGTGTAAAGCGCTTTGAGTATCTTGAAATAAGATAGAAAGGTGCTATATAAATGCAGTCCATTTACCATTTTGCAGGTTAGAAGTAAGATTTTGAATTCTATTCTGGATTTGACAGGGAGCCAATGGAGAGAAGCTAAAACTAGAGAGATATGATCTCTCCTACTAACTCCAGTTAAGACTCTGGCAGCAGCATTTTGGATCAAGTGAAGATGTTTTAAAGAAGTATTTGGACACCCAGATAATAATCCATTGCAATAGTCCAGTCTAGACGTAACAAATGCATGGGCCACTTTTTCAGTATCATTTTTAGATAAAATGTTTAGCGATATTACGCCGGTGGAGGAAGGAGGTTCTAGTAACATTTTTTAATGTGGGGGATAAAAGACATCTCCTGATCAAAAATAATACCAAGATTTTTTTTACATTAGAAGTAGAGGCCAAATTAATGTCATCCAGAGAAAGTGAAAGACTGAAAAATGTATTCCTAAGATGCTCAGGTCTAAAAACCACATCTGTCTTGTCTGAGTTTAAAATAAGAAAATGAAGGGTCATCCAGGTTTTTTATGTCTTTCAAACATGATTGTAACCTCAGTTAGTCCTGTAGTTCATGAGATACTCTGTTAACAGACAAACCAGCTTGACTCCTATATATATATATATATATATATATATATATATATATATATATGTGTGTGTGTGTGTGTGTGTGTGTGTGTGTGTGTGCGTGCGTGTGTGTGTGTGTGTAGAAACATTCACAATGAGTAGTACTTGGGGTATGTGTGTAGAATGACTAATGGAATTAATTACAGATCAAACCACTCCAAATGAAATTGACCTAATTACCAACAGCCCTAATGGTTACAGTTAATTAGTTGCATACTGTAGTTGGTTCTTGAAAGTTTCATTAAACTATGTCAATTTGTTACAGATATATTTATTTCTCACTTACTTCTCCTCATATAGTTATTAGCAAATTTATAAACAAATTCTTGTGCAATTTGTTATACCTTGAAATACGTGTTGAGGATCAGTATCAACAACAACCACACCCAATTTTAGGCCAGTCTCTATAAAAATGTTGAGTTTTTCACTCCCAGTTTCTGAGCAGCCATTAATATAAAAATCCAATCTTTTTAGCCCTCTTAATTAGTTTATTCCTTTATAATAATGTTTGTGTTCTCAT